CAATTACTCACATATGTGTACACAATTATACGTCGTTCAAATACATACTTCTCGAAGTAATTCCAGTTTCAGTCTTTATGACATTTATCGATTGACAGGTCAATATCAGGCATTAAAACAACAAATGACCAATAGATCATCGCCTGGCAGTATCCATCAGATTGAAACGGACAATGGTTTTCATTTTATTATAATTTCAAATTTGATTTTGTGCTTTGTTACAAGTTGTGTGACTGGTTAATAGTAGCACATGTGACCCAAAACGTAGCTGTTTATATTTTTGTTTTCTCTGTCTCTTATGTTCTTTTTTAACTTATAATTTATAATTTATATTTAAAATTAAAAATGCCCGCCTTATCGACAGTCCACTTTCGTTCAATAGTTTGAACAGCGTATTGTCGCGTGCTGATTGGCAAACAAAGTAGTACTTTGACATTTTAACAAACACTTCAATTTTATTCCACAATTCAGTATCAATACAATTGCGTAAGTGATTTAAGTTTATCAATAGAACTCTGAGCTGAAAGTTAGATTTGAAATTGTTTCGATTTTTCCCCGGAACGAATTTCGCGCATTGACAAATACAGTGAACACCGTAAATCCGACCTTGCCCTCCACGAAGGAGTTATTTTTGGAAGTTAATTCGAACTTTTATCTTTGCTCATTTTGTGAAGAATCCAGGCGTGAATGCATTTGTTTATTGTATGGGAACCTGACAACAGTCGGTAGATTCTATAACAGCATCGTTATTTGACATGTCGTCAGAAACTGAGGAACCGTGGATGCGAGACGCGTGAAACTGATAGCGTTTGAAGTGAGTGATCTTGCGACGGAGCACTTGTTCGTTACAAATGTCTGAAATGTTTATGTGTGCTGTGACTCATATCAGTAGGTCTGTAACATATGTGTCAGCAGGTCTATAGAATTTCAGACATCTGTAACGAACCCCTTTTGATCAGTGCAATGTAACAGGCGATATTTCTGATAAATTGCATGAGCGTTAAAATTATTTCCATTACCGGCATTGTTGATTTCAACCGATGTGCATTTTGGACGATATTGCAGACATTGGTCTTGTTTTCGTTGTAATACAAGTGTTTTTTTTATTTTATTTTTTAATTTGAACATAAATTTCAATGAAATTGTAAAATCTCACAATGCCCCGCGATATTTCAGCAGCCATCATGTTTATTTATATGGATATTGTAGTTCCGGTCAGTGTAGTATTAATACGCTAAGAATTGTGTCTCGTGATGCATGGTAATTAAAGTCCCATCAACGGCACAGCTTTCAAAGAGGCTGTATAGTGACAATGCCATTTAAAGGTAAATATAATAGTTTGAATGGATGTCCCCCCCCCCCCCCCCCCCCCATGTAACTACCATTTTCTTTAGTAAGTAATTGAACTGAATTCGGCATGAACAAATCGCTAGATCTACTGTTCATCATTATTTTGTATTATTGTATCTTTGCCTTATTGTGTATTGTTATAAGTATTAGAACTTTAAAAATAAATAAATTTTAACTACAGTACACAATAATAACACTAGTGACACATTATATCTAATGATAAAACAGGTCGGAATCCAGTAAATCTCTTGATTCAATTCTATATATTCGAAAAATATTAAATAAACATCAGTCTATAAGCCCCAGGGATACCCAGTGGTGGGATGTTATTCGTCCGCCCATGGATTGGTTTATACTGAGACTCATGTTGGTCTGGAGTCTCCGCCTCTGTGCCCCACTCCTATATCATATTAAAGAAACTTAAAAACTTAAAAACCTAAGCAGAAATTAAATAAAATGCACATATACACATGTAGGTATAGGATCTTCCGATAGGCAATGTATTGTTGCAACGTCTTTGTTCCGACCTCTGGCGGGGAGTTTTGTTCATCAGAATTGCCTCCCATCCCACCGTGTTCAACGTCTTATCGAATGAAATTAAATTGTGTTTCTCTCCCTGTTATTTTCTCTTTTTTCCTCTAAAATATAAGTATGCTTCCATGAACTGTTTAAGATACACATAGCAGTCCTCTGTCCCATCGACATGACTTGTGGTAAGTTGACGCGGGTATGGGGAGAACGCTAGTTGTACGATAGGTAGGAACCCTAGGAATAATTAAATCTAAGTTGATAAAACGATATTTAATTATTGTCACAAAACAAAGGGTAGTTTCAATATTTGAAGAACATTTAACAAATCTTCAAAACAAATAGATAAAAACAGTACATGTAAAGTAGATATAGCCACTATCTGAACACAAGATATATAGATAGATACAATTAACATATATTGGCAATTTTATTTTGGGGTGAGGGTATACACGCTGCTTAATTTAAGTTTATTTTTTAAATTTGGTTTGTTTTGTTTACTTCTAAACACACACAAACGCCAGCTACTATAAAGTGCATCAAATCCCCAATTCCAACCCAGGAATAACAAACAACAATCCCCTCCCCCATATCGATCTCATTATATTCAATGGTTACATTATTTTTGGTATGGTATTCGGTTACAGATATGATCGAAACCCCATCAAACCCCGCTCATAGACAATACCCCCTACTTTACGCAATTGTTATAAATTAAAACTGCGCTAACAAACGCACAAATGTCATCGAACACGGCCTAGTAAATCATATAATGTTATTGAAAATTTCTCCACAATTTGGCTGTAGGAAGGATGGAAATTCACTTGAACCTATACCTAATTGAAAAGACGCCCCACTTTTTAACTGCGCTATTTTCAATCCNCCGTAATCCCTTTCCCATATCAACAATTTTTCCCTTCATTTAACTCTGACAAAATGACAGCTTGCACTACCATAATCCTGTTTGATATCCAACAATACCCCAACACCCGCCTTAAACTAACATTCATACTAATACTCACAAAATAATTATAAAATGTCGACACAGAGGACAGCAACAGAAGAAAGCCAATGAAAGTTTTTACCTGAACGAGGACATTTGAAATGACGAAAAGTTTCCAAAAGCGTGCAAATAACTAGATTCAGTTTCATGAATGGACAACAGAAACAAGGTGCATGACACGAAACACTAACATTCAGTCCGTCGGAAGGGACTATAAGCGGTGTCCCGTGTGGGAAAGTCCAACCCGCCGATTGTGTATTGTCGTAAGTGTAGGCGTGATAACGCCGGCACAGAGAATATTTTTTCTAGATTATAGAAATATATTAATAAGATAAGATGGACTTCCAAATAAAGAACAAAACCAAAAAACAATAGAGAAGGGGTAGAGCCACTGGACAGTCTGGATATGGTAGACACGCCCTCTTCCTACTTCCGTGCCGTACTAGACATCTTGATGCAATGCGGCTAGCGACAAATCAAAATTAATTGACCAACTATTCGGAGCAAGGAATCGTCTCCCAAATGACTTTTTAAAAATCATAAGGATTTGATAAAGTAAAGGCGACCCCCCCCCCCCCC